TGCCCAGGCGGGTCTCGAACCTGCGGCCTCAGGCAATCCACTCACCTCGGCCTCCCAAAGCGTGGGATTGCAGGCTGAGCCACTGAGTCCAGCCTTGTCCTTATTCTTAAAAATGAAATTACTTTTGACTTTTCAGCAAGCACATAACTAAAGTTGAATGGTATAAGACACATCACGGTTTTGTTGGTTTTTCATAAATGAAAAATACTAAGCCAAAAAAAAAAAAAAAAACTTTTGTGCTAAGGCTGCTGTATTAATTACACGAGGAACCAATGCACAAGAACTTGGGTATCATACAGATAGTTACTGGTACTGGCAAGACTTAAAACCCAGTAAACACTGCACATTCTGAGTTCTGCACTTCCTGAGCTCAGCATTTTATAGCAGTGATTCTCAACCCTGGCCACACATCAGAGTCACTTTAAGTGATTCACCATTGCTAAAGTCTGTGCTCCAACCAGACCCATCAAATCAGAATCTCTGAGGTAAGGCCAGACTTTGACTCCTTTTTGTTTTGTTTTGCTTTGTTTTGTTTGAATTGTCGCCCAGACTGGAGTGCCACTGCAGCCTCAACCTGTTGGGCTCCAGCGATCCTTCCACCTCAGCCTTCCAAGTAGCCGGAACTACAGGTGTGCGCTACCACGCCCAGCTAGTTTTTGATTTATTGTAGCGACAAGGTCTCACCAAATTGCCTGGGTGGGTCTCAAACCTGCAGGCTCAGGCAATCCACTTGCCTCAGCCTCCCAAAGTGCTGGGATTACAGGCTAAGCCACCAAGCCCTGCCGACTTCTTTTGAAAGTTCCCAGGTGATTCTAAAATGCAGCTAGGGTTGGAATTAGTGACTTAAAAGGAAAAGTTACCTCAAGAAAATCCAGCAAGAAACTCTTAGGGTAACAAGTGATGTAGTAAAGCATCAGGCACTCAAGTAAGTGGCACCCAGCCTTGTTTTTACCATCACCACCACCACTGTCATTCATATCATTATCACTACTGCTCCTACAACCTCTACTGATACACAAAGCACTAAAGAGGGGGGGAATGCTAGCAAAGAGGACACTTTTAAGGACAGTGTTCGCAAGACTTGCAAAGAGAAAAAAATTTGAAGTCTCTAAGCAGGGCATGACTAACTTACGGCAAAACCAAATGTCTTAAAGGAACCAAAAAAAAGTTAAATGTATCTTCGTGTAGAAAAGAGCTATATCTGCTGTATTTTTAATAATCTTAATATAATTATATATCAGATAATACTCTGCCTAAAAGACTTGGGCCAATAGGTCAGTCAAGTTTCAAACAGAAGATCCAGCAACCAATTAAAATACCAAATGAATTTTCTAAAAAAAAAACCTTGAATAAAATGTTTTATCTCCATACCTTTGGTATCTCTAATAACAATAGCATTCAACAATCCTTTTCCTCTTACAGCAGTTACAATATCAGAAGGTAGCTTCATGAGTTCATTTCTCAAGATAGCACCCATTTTGTCTGCATTCTCAGCAAGATTTTCTTCTTCCAAAACCTAAGTTTTGAGAGAAATAATACAAATGTTAAGACTGCCATTCTGTTGTTGTTCTCTGCAGAGCTATGTGGACTGTAAGCAAAGGAAAAGCATGACTAGATAAAGGCCAGAGAAACGTAACTTTCATTTCTGTCTTTCAAAGCCTACATTAGTTTAATTTCTAATTAAACATATACTAACTCAGAGCCTTGCTTAAGTCAAAATCCACTGTCAATCTGTTTTCATGACAACATGAATTAAAATTTATTTAATGCAACTCATATACTATCATTAGTTGCATATATCAATGGACTAAATACACTTTAGTTTATAAACTGCAAGAGTTTCCTTTATATTTTCTCCTAAAAAGCATTATTTGCTAAGCAAAAGAGGCCTAGGGGGTGGGTCACAGTGTGTGAGTTCTGTGACAGCTGGTCAGGGCCTAAGGACCCAGAGCCCCAAGTGACTTCACACTCAGGAAGCCCATGGAGAAAATCCAGTCTACTCAGCCAAGGTGTAAGTTACTTTTTGAGAATGCTTTGTTCCTAAAATCTTTCTGCTATACTTCACATCCTCTAATATTTGGCAAACTTATTAAATTTCTTCTTTTTTTTCCTTTTTTTTTTTTTGAGTTGGAGTCTCACTCTGTCACCCAGACTGGAGTGCAGTGGCCGCTCCTGGCCACCGCAACCTCGACCTGCTGGGCTCCGGTGATTCTTCTGCCCCAGCCTTCTGAGTAGCCGGAATTACTGGCACGTGCTGCCATGCCCGGCTGATTTTTTTATTTATTGTAGAGATGAGGTCTCGCCAAGTTGCCCAGGCGGGTCTCGAACCTGTGGGCTCAGGCAATCCACTGGCCTCAGCCTCCCAAAGGCACGGGACTACAGGCTGAGCCACCGAGCCCAGTTTTAAATTTCTTATTATACCAGTGGGCTAACAGCACGTTAACACTTCTTATAGAAACAGATACTGTATGGCTGTATCAGTTTTCACCTCAAGGGCTGCAATAGCCACTCGGCAGCCTAGTGGATTGCCACCATATGTGGACCCATGTTCCCCTGGCTTAATGGTCAGCATGATTTCATCGTCGCACAACACTGCGGATACCTGAAAGACAGTGAATTCAAGACATCATTTCTCAGCACTAAGCATTCTTGTCCTTAGCACACCAGGGACACAAATATTTAATAGCTTCAACAAATAAGAGCTCGCACCTGCTATCCTAACTACCAATAACAATCTAAGTAATATCCTAACATATTACAAACATATTAAGCACACTCCAATGGCACAGAAAAATATAATTTTGCAACTAAAAGAGAAAAGTTATTCAATGATATAATTTATAATCCTTTCCAATTTCAAGATGAAATGCTTTGTTTAAATGCTTAAAAAACAAGCCGGGCTCGGTGGCTTGAACCACAGGCGCGCGCTACCATGCCCGGCTAATTTTTTGATTTATGGTAGAGACGAGGTCTCGCCAAGTTTCCCGGACTGGTCTCAAATCCCTGGACTCAGGCAATCCTTTCACCTCTGCCTCCCAAAGTGCTGGGATTATAGGCATGAGCCAGCCCATCAGTCGTGGTTTTAAACAATTAGTGATGCCATGTTTCTAAATACTGGGGAAAAGGACGGGAGTCCACAGGAGTCTTTTGAGGCAAAACGGTCCCGCCCAAATCAAATGCCTAGCACAGGAGACCCCAACCCCAAGCAATGAACCAGTATTGGTCTTTGGCCTGTTAGGAATCAGGCTGCACAGCGCAGACGAGCAAGCAAAGCTTCATCTGTATGTACAGCCGCTCCTCATTGCTCCCCTTGCCACCTGAGCTCTGCCTCCTGTCAGATCAGCAGCGACATTAGATTCTCATAAAAGTGTAAACTCTATTGTGAGCTGCACGTGCAAGGGATCAAGATTGTGCATTCCTGAAGAGAACCTAATGGCTGATGACCTGAGGTGCAGCTGAGGCATTATATATTACAATGCAATAACACAACTGAAGTGCACAATAAATATAATGCACTTAAAATCACCCCCCCTCGCCATCCCCCATCCACAGGAAAACTGTCTTCCACAAAATTGGTCCCTGATGCCAAAAAGGTTAGGGACAGCTGCTCGAGCAAACTTCGAGGCACACTCAATTCTTCAGCCAAAATTATGTTTTCAATACAGACACTCCAGGTGCCTACAACACACTTCATAAAATCAAACTGTCTGTAAGGCATTATTGCCACATCAGTTGATGTAAAAAATATTTTAGGGCTATATTTTATGAGTAGGAAATGGAAAGAGACTGGACATGAAACTTACAGGGTATAAGCCCCCGGAAAGGGCCTTTCCAAGGAGGACTATGTCAGGTCTAACGTTTTCATGATCAACAGCCAGCCACCGCCCAGTTCTGGCCAATCCTGTCTGTATTTCATCAGCAATAAAAAGAACCTATTGGGAAAAAAATAGCATGATTAATTATCATCCTCATTTCCACTGGGAAAATAGCAATCTTTATTTCAAGTCCCCCTTTTGTAATATCATGACTATAATTACACAATTACAAAAGTAATCTTCTTCTATTATTATTCAAAGTTGTGGGGTACAAGTGAGGGTTTACCAATGTTTAATTCTGACGTGCCATTAGATTTGTTAAGATGTTTTAACCACTCACACAATTTTAAAGTTATCTGATAAAAATCCTGTAGACATACCAACCACGTTCTGCGTCAGGACATTCCACCCTGCTCTGCATGTGGAAAAGTGCTCTACATATGAAAGGTGCTCATGCAAAGATGGAGGTTTTTAGGGCTTTTCTGGATATAACTACCCTTTAGGAACAAATTAATTCACTCATGTATTCCATAAAAAAACTTACTATGTGACAGAAACTCTCAAATGGTAAACAAAATACTGTACACTAATAATATTCGTCTTAGAGGTTGTAACTTCTGGAGCGGAGAGCTACAACACAGGGCTTGGGAGGGATTAAGGGTGAAAGGCTCTTAGACGACAGAAATACAGTTAGGGCCAGGAAGTCTGCAGCTCTGCACAGGGCCCAGGGTATAGGCAATGTTCCAGAGACAGTAAAAAGTCAGTTTCGGTGCAGCTTTCTAAGCCTTAGAAAGTTCTTAAGCTCTTAGCATGTCTCCCTCTAGTAGAAAGGGGATTTCCTCTTTGCATTTAGCCTGTCAGCAGAACAAAACAGAGATGAGGGAAGTCAAACAGGAGCCAGCTCAGCCTCAACTCAAACAGGTAACATGGACAACCTGGTGCCTGGTGCAGAGTTCTCGCACTCCCACTAGGTAACCTGGATCTGGAACAACAACACCTGCTTCACCCTGAATTGGTTCCACCATGAACGCGGCAACATTTGGATCCTGAAGAGCACGCTACAAAGGGAATAGGAATATGTAAGTTTAAATAACTTCCTTTCTGCCATATCTGGAAATCTGAAATCACATACTGCACACAGTTTCCTATGCTAATAAGTATGCAAATCAGGTCTTCACACTAAGTTAATCCTGACTTTACAGTGCAAGTATATTTCTCACTTATATTCAACTACCAGAAACTCCAAATATTTCATCTTTAAGTTACACTATCCCACATTTTCAAATCTAAAGTAAATGGCCCTTTGAAGTCATTTCAAGGTTTTTTTTACAAGTCTTCTACTTCATAATTTTAAGCAGATAGTTAAAAGCTGAGAAATTTTATTTAGTAATTAAGTGGGTAGTACCCAAGTTAATTGTTATGAAGAATACATATCTGAAGTGGATTGCTGTAGGGATTAGATCATAGTACCCAGTTTTCCCTGTGTTAGAAACAAATTAATCATTGCAGAAAACATGTCTGAAATCTTGGCCTAACTTAAATAAGATAAACTGTCATTATTGTCAAACAATATATTTTTAATTCACATATTCAAAAGGTTTAACTTCTATTTACTTTCTATTTAATTAACTTCTATTTAAGCACCAAGACACTGTTAAGTACCTCCAGTGCAGGCAGATCATTATAGGGAATGATTTCAAATCCTGGCATAAATGGTCCAAAGCCATCGTAACTGGTTGGGTCAGTGGAAGCAGAGATAGCAGACAATGTCCTACCCCAAAAGTTTCCAACTAGAAAGGAAAAACAAACCGATTATTTCAAAGAAACCCCCACATTCAATAAGCACTACTCTCCAATACCATGGAAAGTTTGGCTAAAAAAATAAATCTGCTGGGCACCACCACACCAGGACAGGGCATTTCCAAATACTCTCACAAAGTCTCTTTCACTGGCATCTCTCATCTACGAGTCACTCTTTTACTCATCCATAAACAATAGCATATTGACTTTGACTAGGAACTTAGAAATAAGCCCAAAAAGAAGCCAGGCATGGTGACTCATGCCTCTAATCCCAGCACTTTGGGAGGAGGAGGCAAGAGGATTGCTTGAGCCCACGGGTTCAAGACCAACCTGGGCAACATGGCAAGACCTCAACACTACAATAAATCAAAAAATTAGCCACACATGGTGGTGTGTGCTTGTGGTTCCAGCGACTTGAAAGGCTGAGGTGGAAGGATCACCTGAGCCCAGAGGGTAGAGGTTGTGATAACCATGAGCATACCACTGCACTCCACACTCCAGCCTGGGCGACAGAATGAGACTCTAACTCAAAAAAAGAAAAGAAAAGAAAGAAATAAGCCCCAAAATCTCTCATTAATTATACCTCATTAACTTTTATGACACATTCAGCAAATAATGTATCATGCACAGGACAAACATATTAGAACTATTTCATCAGTCAATTAACACAGTAAATAACATCGCATGTTTGTAAATAACAGCTGTTAATATTTAACTTTCCATACCTGCAAAAACAATCTTTGCTTTGTATTTCTGAATACCCTTCACGGTGTAGCCCCATCTACGAGCTAGTTTGCAGGCAGTTTCTCCCGCCTCTACTCCTATGGTGGGGGAGAATTTTCAGATTAAAAAATGTTTCAAACTATCCGAAAATAAAAAGATTATGTTACTGGATATTTAACAAAACAAGGAAATGCTTTACCTGTATTCATAGGAAGAACTTTGTGGTAGTTGAAAAGTTTAGTAATATACTCCTCATATTCACCAAGTACGTCATTATAGAAAGCCCTAGACGTTAAGGTCAATTTGTCCGCTTGACTCTTTAGAGCATTCACAATCTTGGGGTGACAATGCCCTTGGCTGACAGCACTGTAAGAACTCAGGAAGTCAAAATATTTTCTACCTTCTACATCCCACAGGTAAATACCTAAAATATATAAGAAAAATAATTTTAGAAAATTACTATATGAGCCAGGCGCGGTGGCTCAAGCCTGTAATCCCAGCACTTTGGGAGGCCGAGGTGAGAAGAATATCTGAGCCATGGGTTCAAGACCAGCCTGGGCAACTTGGTGAGACCTTGTCTCTACAATAAATCAAAAAATTAGCCAGGCGTGGTAGCGCACACCTGTAGTTCCACCTACTTGGAAAAAAAAAAAGAAAGAAAATTACTACATGATATAAAGTCCAAAGATTAGCAAGCCTTCTAAACGCCTGTATTTGAATCTCTATTTAATTGATACTTGTTGGCCAGGCATGGTGGCTCACGTCTATAATCCCAGCACTTTGGATTCCCTGAGCCCACAGGTTTGAGACCAGCCAGGACAACATGGCGAGACCTCATCTCTACAATAAATTTAAAAATTAGCTGGACGTGGTGGCACATGCCTGTAGTTCCCAGCTACTTGGAAGGCTGAGGCAGAAGCATCACTTAAACCCAACAGGTCAAGGCTGCAGTGGCCGTGAATGTGCCACTGCACTCCAGCCTGGGTGACAGAGTGAGATTCTGACTCAAAAAAAAAACTATACTTATAGTTAAGGCTTGTTTTAGTTTGGAAATAATAAACTTTGGTTTATAAAAAATTAAGAAGTGGGCAACATAGCAAGACCTCCCCTCTACAAAAAATTTAAAAGTTACCCAGGTGTAGTGGTGTACACCTATGGTCCCAGCTACTTAAGAAGCTAAAGCGGGAGGATCACTTGAGCCCTAGGGATCAACGCTGCAGTGAGCTATGATGGCACCACTGCATTCTGGTCTGAGCAACAGAGCAAGACCCTGGCTCTAAAAGTAAATAAGTAAATAACATTTTATCTGACTTCAAAATATATTAAACAAGTGTGGTGGCTCACGCCTGCAATACCAGCACTTTGGGAGGCCAAAGCAAGAGGACTGCTTGAGCCTGCAGGTTCGAGAACAGCCTGGGCAACATGGTGCGACCTAGTCTCTACAATAAATCAAAAATTAGCTGGGCATGTGGGCGCATGCCTGTAGTTCCAGCTACTTGGAAGGCTGAGGTGGAAGGTTCGTTATTTTGATAATTACACTGTGGTTATAAAAGAGAAATTATTTGTGTTTTAAGAAAGACACACAGGCCGGGCTCGGTGGCTCAGCCTGTAATCCCGCGCCTTTGGGAAGCTGAAGTGAGTGGATTGTCTGAGCCCGCGGGTTTAAGACCCGCCTGGGCAGTGAGACCTCATCTCTACAATAAATCAA